GCAAAGGCATTCAACTGTGTGGATCATAACAAATTATGGATAGCATTGCCAAGAATGGGAATTCCAGAACTCTTAATTGTGCTCGTAAGGAACCTGTACATAGATCAAGGGAAAATCGTTCAAACAAAACAAAGGCATACTGCGTGGTTTAAAGTCAGGAAAGGTGTGTGTCAGAGTTGTATCTTTTTACCATATTTATTCAATCTGTATGCTGAGCAAATAATCCAAGAAGCTGGACTATATGAAGAAGAATGGGACATCAGGATTGGAAGGAAGACTCATTAACAACCTGTGTTATGCAGATGACACAATCCTGCTTGCTGAAAGTGACGAGGACTTGAAGCACTTACTGATGAAGATCAAAGACTACAGCCTTCAGTGTGTATTACACCTCAACATAAAGAAAACAAAAAAATCCTCACAACTGGACCAATAAGCAACTTTATGATAAACGGGGAAAAAATTGAAGTCATCAGGGATTTCATTTTACTCGGATCCACAACCAACACCCATGGAAGCAGCAGTTAAGAAATCAAAAGATGCATTGCATTGGGCAAATCTGCTGTAAAAGACTTTTTAAAGTGTCAAAAAAGCAAAGATGTCACTTTAAGGACTAAGATGTGCCTGACCCAAGCCATAGTGTTTTCAGTCACCTCATACGCACGTGAAAGCTGGAGAAATGAATAAGAAAAATTGAAGAAGAACTGATGCCTTTGAGTTGTAGTGTTGGGAAAGAATATTGAATATACCATGGATTGCCAAAAGAAAGAACAAGTTTATCTTGGAAGAAATACAGCCAATCAATCATGATGAGACTTAGACTCACATACTTTGGACATGTTACCAGGAGGGCTCAGTCCCTGGAGAAGGACCTCATGTGTGGTAAAGCGGAGGGTCAGCAAATAATAGGAAGACCCTCAATGAGACGGATTGACACAGTGGCTGCAACAATGGGCTCAAGCATAACAATGATCACTAGAATGGCGCAGGACTGGGCAGTGTTTGGTTCCGTTGTACATAGGGTCGCTATGAGGCAGAACTCACTGGATGACACCTAACAACAACAACACATACATATTTACCAAATCTATTTAAATTTTTTTTACCAAACACAATAATTCCTAAACAATGCCTTATGTAGTTGAAGATACTCAACAAAGCAATAGTGTTCACTATAGTTCTCAGTCCCGTTGAGGCTCCTCTGGCAGTATAATCCCCACATAGAGACTCCTATATCTTGATGATCTTGAATCTCCAGATGCCAAGATCACCTTAGAGGCTCTCCCAGGCTGAGGGGGTGCTTCAGTCTTTTACCAAAAGAGGGTCTTTACACAGGCAACTGTGCAGTGTGGGGACGGTTGTCAGTGAAGCACCAGTAAGAGCAGCTGTCACTGGCAGCAGCCTTATCTCCTCATACTGGAGACTGTATTCTAAGACTTAAAATGAATTCCAGGCTCACTGTGTTATGGGGGGAACTAGGTCACAGAAATACAGCTTTCTTCTCCCTGGGATCCCCTTCTGCCATGATGGAAGGGTAGGGGATACCTTGCTGCTTACAGATTGAATCTGGAAGAGACTTGGCAGTTTGCAAAGGGCCGTCCACAGGGACCTTGCAAAATGAAGCCCCTTGAAGGAAGGAGTGAAGTCATATGCATCTCAGCATGGTGCCAGCACACAGCAGGTGCTCAATAAATGTAAACTGAACAGCAACAGCTATTTCTTAGGTGCATGATGTCAGGCTGGGGATGGAGGGTGGGAAGGTAAAGGAGGGTGTGTGATGCAAACATCACTCCATCGAAGATCCTCATTTCCGAGTGTGGTATAGTATAAAGTCTTTTTAGAGACGGGCAGATCTGGGTTCAAATCTTTACTCTGTCACTTACTGGCTGTGTGATCCTGAGCATGGCACTAACCTCTCTGGGCCTCAGTTCCCTTCATCTATAAAAGTGAAGCATAACAGCTCCGTCTTAGGGTTGTG